ATTTCAGCACACGGTGGTCCATGGTCATATCTCAAGCTTGTCAATTCCACAAGGTCCGATGACACTTTTTTTCCCCCTTCTTGTCCACCATGAGAGGATATCATTCTAGGTAATGGAACAGTTACAGTGAAAGTACAAATGCCACTGGCTGCTGTTTCAATAAAAAATAATCAAACATTTGATTGATCCCTGAATCAGAGGGCAGCGCAGAGGTCAACACACAGCCGTAATCTGCATAGTTATTTGGGAGTTTCAACACCACATACTAACCACTTGTTTCAACGTGTGGCCGGCCAATACTGAGTTGTATCATCCAACCACCAAATGATGAACACTTTAAAAAGGTTACATCAGGTAGGGCATTTATTTAAAGCATCATGATTGTGCTTGGTGTTTGATTATAGAGGGTTCGGCTTCACTGGGTTGGAAAATGCACTCACACATCAGTCTGTCTGTAGTGAGGATTGGCACCTACACAGTTGTAAGAGATGACGGAAAGGAATTTGGTACCAACTACCAACTATCAAACTGTGAACATTTCACCTAAAAGAAATCCTTTGAGAATCACTTGTTGTGACAAAGTGGAGAAGACAGAAAACCAACGTACACAAACACAAATCATACAGTATGAATGCCTTAATTAAGACTACAACTATTTATTTTGCTTCATCGGCCGTATCTGAGCCAGTTGAGCATTAAGGTGATAATACATACTTGCTGATAAAAAGTACAGTCAACGTTTATTCTTCTACTTTTAGTTTCAATAAATATGCAGTGAACTGGAAGGCGGTGTTATATAGGTGGCACAGCTTTAGTCAGCCTCGATTCTGAGCATGACAGCAATGAATCAGAAGTACCAGAGAGTAGGGCGATTAAATGCAGGAGAAATACAGGCTGACTGAACTATGTACGAGTCACTAAGATTAATAATCGTTTGAGATCACAAATAAATAAGCTGATTTATGTAAGGGAACCAGTGACGGAAAGCAATGCTCCTTATTTACAGATGATGTGCACATGCTATATTTAGGCAATTGACAACAACCACACCAACATCTAAATGTGAGCTGAGATCTGGTTAGAAATCAAGGCACATCTTAAAATATCACCCCTGCGACAAAAATATCCACATAAACGAACTCAAGCTGCATTTGGAATGAAAATGTTTCCCCGGCTTGTTCTCCAGGCTTGTGGCTGCCATGGCAACAATGCATGTCTCTGAATGAGTCATCTTTTCAGTGTCTATCACACAACAGGAACTATGAGTGCTCCAACCTCTACACTGCAGGAAGGATGAAGCATCTTTGCAGCCGGCCATCTCTAACAATCTGAAACATACCAGATGTACAGGTTTCCTTTCTGGGGCTACATCCACACATCACCTGGAAATCTGCACCAGAGTTCCTTTAAATATTACGCATTATCCGTGATAAAAATCCCATCAAAGGGAGGGGCTTGATGACTATTTTCCTCTAAAAAATATTTTTTTAAAATGATGACAAGAAAAGAGCAATGCATCTAAGCTGTTTCTACACCACAGCTCCTTGGATTTATTTGACTCCTTTCCTTGACTTCTAGAGTGGGCCAGATGTTGAGAGATTTGTGGGCTATAAGTGAGAGTTCAACACCATTTCAAGATCAAGAATATGTTCAATTTTAGTTGAATTTTGGTATCAATATTAACAGTGAGTGACAGGAATAGATGCTGCTCATTTGCCACCCTCATGTTATGTGACGCATTTCCCGGGAAAAAACAAGGAGCTCGCAGCATGGATAAACATGAACACCTAAAAACTAGTGTGCTACCAAGGTTACAACAGGAGAATGAATTGAAACATGCTGAAACAATTGTGACTCTCCTAA